GACTGGTGAACCACAAAGTCACACCAGGTCTGAAGGCAGACCTACTTCTGGCCAGCCAGGTGTACAAGTGAATAAATCTCCTTTCATTGCTTAGACCAGGTTGGGCTGGGAGATGGCTATTTGAAAAAACACATCCAAACTAACCTGACACTTCTGACTAGCTCCATGATGCCTCGTCCTACCAAGGGTTCCAGGGTTAGGCTTAGCACAACAGGGTGACCAGGGAGTCTCCTCCCAGAGGACCCACTCTCAGGTCCAGAGACTCACTAGGGGCTATGGACACTCTAGAACAGTCTAGAGTGTCTAGAATGGTACCAGTCTGTGGCTTGTCAGGAACTGGACTGCACAGGAGATGAGTGGTAAGCAAGCGAGTGAAGCTTCATTTGTATTTACAGCTGCTCCTCATCTCTCGCATTACCACCTGAGCTCCGCCATCTGTCAGATCAGAGGTGGCATTCGATTTTCAAAGGTGCACAAACTCTACTGTGAACTGCACACGTGAGGGATCTAGGTTGCCAGCTCCTTATGAGAACCTAATGCCTGGTGATTTCCCCACCACCACCCACCATCATCCATGGAATTGTCTTCCGTGAAACCAGTCCCTGATGCTGAAAAGGTTAGGTGAGAGGTGACAGTTCACACTCAGAGGCAAAACAACTTTTCACAAGAGCTCTGGGAAGGTAGTGACTATTTGTTTATTTCTAGATATGTGGGGGTAAGGAGAAGCACAGACAGACGGCAGGGTGAAAGAACAGAGCCCCCAGACCTAGGGCTGGTTCATAGGAGGTAGCAGGGGCTGTGGATGTAGCCAGAGTTCAGAAGTCTGGGCCAAGAGTCCATCTATTCACAGGGCCCCTTTTCACACACAAAAGACCGCTCAATATGCTCGTGTGACGGGTCACCCTAGATGGTCACCCAAACAATGCTGGCTGGGTGCAATGGCATAGATCTGTTACCTCAGCACTTTGGGAGGCCAAGATGGGAGAATCACTTGAGCCCAGTAGTTCAAGACCAGCCTGGGCAACATAGTGAGTCCCCATCTCCGCAAAAAATTTAAAAATTAGCCAGGTGTGGTGGCACGTGCCTGTAGTCCCAGCTACTTGGGAGGCCAAAATGGTAGGATCACTTGAGCCCAGAAGTTCAAGGCTGCAATGAGTTATGATTGTGCCACCGCATTCCAGTCTAGGTGACAGTAAGACTCTGTTGCTTAAAAAAACCCCACAAAGTTATAAGACTATAAAAGAAATTTTTTTTTAGCTGCTTCTTCATTTCCTGGGCAGGAATTTAAAAACAAAGTGAAGTACAAGACAGTAAAATGCAGTACATCATATCCACTTAGCCTTGGGCAGAAGCTGAACAATTTTGCAGAAACTCATGAACAAAAGCAAAGCAGGAATATTATCAGAACATGAACCAAAAACTGATTTCCCAAGGGAGGAATTGATGACATGTGGTACTGCACAGTGTAGTAATCAAATTTATTGTGCAGTGTTTTGGCTTTTTTTAATGGCAAAAGCAGTATATGCTCAACTTAAATCTTACATTACAGAGCGAGGTTCTGTGTCCCATGCCCCATCCCACCCACCTCAGTACCCAAAGGTGGCATGCCTTTCTGTGTGCACACAAACGCGTGTACACACACAGACACACACACACACACGCACACATTCATAACCCTCTCATTAAAAAAATAGGATTCGCTGGGCTCGGTGGCTCAGCCTGTAATCCCACGTTTTGCAAGGCTGAGGTGAGTGAACTGCCTGAGTCCGCGGGTTTGTGACCCTCCTGGACAACTTGGTGAGACCTCATCTCTACAATAAACCAAAAAAATTAACCGAGTGTGGTGGCGTGTGCCTGTAGTTCCAGCTACTTGGAAGGCTGAGGCGGAAGGATCGCCGGAACCCAGCGGCTCGAGGCTGCGGTAGCTAGGAGCGTGCCACTGCACTCCAGTCTGGGCGACAGAGTGAGACTCCAACTCAAAAAAAAAAAAAAAATAGGATCACATTATACATACACGTTACTCTACAATCTGCTTTTTTTCACTTAAAATAAGGAATACCCAGCCCCTCAACATGACATGTGTTTAAAGTCACCAAATGAAGAGACATATCTCCTGGGAACAATAGCCCTAAAGTGTCATGGAAACGTTAATTGATATGAGTATCTGGAAGCCGAAAGCAATTTTCTGCTTTTGTTTTATAACCAGAAAAGGCCATTCCCAAAATAGTTCAGAAAATAAAATTACAAAGGGCTGAAACCCAGACATTTCGTCTTCTAAAGACTCACCAATGTTAACAGTTGGCATTTTGTTGAAAAAGGATTGTTTTATTTTTCATGGCCACAACAAATCAGGTATGTGAGCACACATCATGTTCTGTTCTCCATCCTATTTCCAGTTCGTGGCACTTCTTAGAGTTAAAAAGACAACTGATCAGCTATGGTAGTTACAATATAATTGAGTTCTCTTATTACCACCTCAATGATCCAAAGCTTAAGGCCTGCCTTTTATTTGCTCTCAGACAGCACTTTCAATGAAGGCTGCAAAGCTGTCAGACTCTCCCACCAGAAACAAAGGCTACACTCTCAGGGAAGGTGATACCACCCTCCCTCCCCACCGTGTCCCCAAAGTCAAAAATTGCCACTTCCCTGCTCTGCAGGCAACACTTTAGACCTTTTCCATTTTGAGCAGCATTTTAAATAATCACATCTCTCGGGCCAGGTGCAGTGGCTCATGCCTATAATTCCAGCACTTTGGGAAGCTGAGGTAGAAGGACTGCTTGAGCCCAAGAGTTCGAGACCAGCCTGGGCTACCAAAAAATAAATAAATAAATAAATCAGCAGGGCTGCACGCCTGTAGTCCCAGCTACTCATGATGCTAAGGTGGAAGGATCAGATCGCCTGAACCCAGGAGGTCGAGGCTGCCATGTGCCTTGATTGTTGTGATCATGCCACTACACTCCATCCTGGCAACAGAGTGAAACTTCAACTCAAAAAATAATAATAATCACATGTCTCAGTTGTAACTACTCCTCAGCTAAGTATCCAGTTATCAAATTAATATTCCAAAAGCGACATTCACACGTCTCATGTTTCCATCAACCCTCCCCTACCTCCAACAATACAGCTCAAGAAGGATGAAAAGTTTAATTCTTGGATGATGAATACTATCTCATAAATTACTCAAAGTCCTCCTTAAAACATGATGGGTTCTAAGTTCCGAATGTGTGTCCCCCCCCAAAAAATATGTTGAAACCTAGTCACCAATGTAATGATTTTAGAAGGTGGGGTTTTGAGAGGTGACTAGATCATAAAGCTAGAGACCACGTGAAGAGGATTAGTGCCCTTCTAAAAGAGGCCTCCAAGCCAGGCCCAGTGCCTCATGCCTCGCAGCTACTCAGGAGGCTGAGGCCAGAAGATCACTTGAGGCCAGGAGTTCTAAATCAGCCTGAGTAACATAGCCAGATACCATCTTTTTTTAAAGAAAAGTTTATCTTTAAAGAACAAATTTTAGATTTTAAAAAATAAAAGAGGGCACAGAGAGCACCCCTCTTCCACCATGTGAAGACACAGAAGAAAGTGCCATCTATGAATTAGAAAGTGCCCCTCACCAGACAATGAATCTTGCCAGCTTTTTCACCATGGACCTCCCAGACTCCAGAACTGTGAGAAATAACTTTCTGCTGTTTACCAGCCACTCATTTATTACCATTCTGTTATAGCAGGCCAAACAGACTAAGACAGTTGGCTATCTCAAAAGGAAAGCTTTACGTGTCATAAAACAATATTGCCAATAATTTTGCATATAATCTGCAGAAATATATTCATTCTACAAAAGTTATCATTGATTTTACCTTTTGTTTACCTAATTTCCTCCCCACAGTGATAGGCAGAAAACATATGAAGCATGGCCCAAGAGTCCAGTTCTTCTTCAACATAGACATGTATTTTAAAAGGGAGAAAAGAAAACTCAGAAGCAGAGCAGAACCCACTGAAACTACTTCCAACCACTACATTATGTTTCCTTCTCAGTTGTAGGCACCGGGAATTAATGACCCATGTCTTGGCTTAGTTAACAACACACCTTTACCAGGTAGAAGCCACATCCCGTGTCTCTGGCTTAGTTAACAATATACCTTTTCCAGGTACCAAGAATCAATGCCCCATGTCTTGGCTTACTTAACAACATACCTTTACCAGGTACCAGGAATCAACACCCCACATCTCTGGCTTAGTTAACAACACACCTTTACTAGGTTCCAGGCATCAACACCCCATGTCTCTGGTTTAGTGAACAACATACCTTTACCTTTACAGATACTGAATGTAAACTCCAGAAAGGCTGCATATAAATATATTTTTTTACTCATGGTTTAAATATAACTAGAGAACTTGATAAAGTAACACTATGAAATCCTTTATGAAGAATTTATACAACATGAAATTTTCTCCTAGTATCATATATACATTTTTATGCCTTTGTTTTTATAAATAATGTTATACTTATAAATAGTAGGACATGGCTATTCCCATATCTCCAGGCACCAAGTACATATACTTTTCTGGTAATCTGCGTCTGTCTTCACTAACTACAAATGTCAAGATGGCTCTTGTCTTTTTTTGACAGTTCACTAACTTGTACTATGAGTAGTTTCTCAATGACTGGACTTTGCTAATCTGATGAAGGCATCCAAGAAGATGCCCATGGATTTCAAAATCCCTCCAAGGGCAGGAACTAAAGTATACTACTTGCATTAGAACACCCCAATATCCAGCACATCACACAGATGATGCTCTAGAGAAAGCAGACTCACGCGACTAACCAATAGCACTCATGTGCCACATCAGTCAACACTCAAAACTCTTTCTGAGTGTATAAACAAATACATCTGGACTCTAAGAAACAGAAAGAAAAAAGGAAGAAGAACCTGAGGAAGAAAAGTCAGCTCTCTGCCACCACGTGCAAAGCCTGAACACCACTGATGAGTTTCATGTGTACTTACATAGATCTCACTATGGTCAAACCGCTTCTTGAGGTTGTTGATGAAGGTCTCCTCATTGAGAGGTTCTAGAAGAACCATATCTCCAACTCCAATCATGTTGTCCAGAAGTGATGTTTTCACCTCCGTTTTGGCCATGGTCTCCTGCTTTGGGAGAGAGGGAAAACAGTCAACCTAACTGAGCAAAATTATTTCAGATGACTCCTTGGCACTGCGAGAGAAATGAAACATGGGGTCATTCCAATGACCCTTACTGGCCTCACGAAAGGCCATAACCCCCCCTCCTGACAAACCACATCAGAAGCCTCCAACTTAGCTTCAGCTGCCCATTTGCCAACCTGCTGCCATAAATGAACCTACTCCCCTGTCCAAAGTCTACCTACAGAAGAGCCTCAAGAAAGCCACAGTCTTTGTTTTCTTCTTTAGATCATTCCTTCTCCCCAGCCTAAGACTTGCAAAACTCCAGTCAACCCACCTCTTTCCCCCAGCCTTTGCAGACTAATGTACAACGTTCGTGAACCTGTATGATCCTGCCCCTCCAAATGACACCCCCTGGCATTCCGTGATGGAATTCAGAATGCATTTCCCCAGGAAGCACTGTTCTAGAAAATGATGCGGTTGACATTCGCTGGTTATTTGCCACACATACCAGATACTATCCCAGAAACTCTGCAAGCTGCATTAACTTAATCCTTACCATACCTCTATGAGGTAGGCACTACTCTCCTGGTTTTAAGATAAGAACACTGGCAGCTCAGAGAGACTATGAAACTTGCTACAGTTACTTAGAAGTGTTTTGCATTCAGTGTGAAAGAACTCAGTCACCACACTGGACATTGCATCTATGGGAGGAAATTTCATTCCAGGCACTCAAAACTGACTTATAAAGAGAAGACACAACCCACTTGTAAACCAGAGGTTGCCAGTATAACATAACCTGCCAAGAGTGGGGGCTCCAGGTTCTCAACTCTCATTCTAACAGAAGAGCCCCTGTAACAGCAGAATCAAATTAGCATGCACTAAATAGACCACAAACACTAAGGCTTCCCTTTAGCTTAATGTGAAAGTCTCCCAGGTGGAAACAGAGCACACCACAAAGGCAGCAGTCTACCCACACTGCTCTTGTGTGCAGTGCCATCCACCAGGAATGCCAGTCCCAAGGCTTCACATCTGATGGCGTCAAGAGCATGAAAACCTTCCAACTATCTGAGCACAGGAGAGTATGTGGAGTGTGTGCATGTTGCGTGTGTGCCTGTATTTGTGTTACTTTTTCTAATTTTCCTAGAACTAAATGGCAGAACTAAGTTCATCTGGGCCATTATCTCCAAATGTTCCCAACACGGGAGTCATTTCATATCACTTCAGTATGCTAATACTGAATAATATTCAGAATACTAATAAATACTTACAAATATACATGCCCTGATACTGAGTGGACAGTGCGTTTCATTCTTTCCACGAAGGAGTCATCTAGGCATACTATACCATATGAAGGTTGGTCTGCTTGCTTAAGTCTTAACAATTTAAATAAACATCCACCTCTTCTAGTCTAGAACATCCAGTAGGTCTCTTTTGGTTTGGGGTTTTTTGTTGTTTGTTTGTTTGCTTGCTTGCTTGCTTGTTTTTGAGTTGGGGTCTCACTCTGTTGCCCAGGCTGGAGTGCAGTGGCACAATCACAGCTCATAGCAGCCTTGACCTCCTAGGCTCAGAGCAACCTTCCTGCATCAGCCTTCCAAGTAACTAGGACTACAGGTGCACACCACCACACCCAGCTAGTTTTGTTTTTTTGTTGTTGTTATTTCTGTTTTTGTTTTGTTTTGTTTTGCTGTAGAGATGGGGTCTAGCTATGTTGCCTAGGCTGGTCACGAGCTCCTGGGTTCAGATGATCCTCTCACCTTGGCCTCTCAAAGTGCTGGGATTACAGCACTTTGAGCCATCGCGCCCGGTCAGTAGGTCTCTTAAAGGCAATAGAAACTCCACTTAGTTGGTCTGGTTTAAAGAAAACTGGAACTGGCTAGTTATTAAGTAACTCATTATTATTAATTATGAGCACTCTATATGAATCTACAAACACAGCCTTCTTTTCTGACCCTATTAAAAATTGCTTCGGCTCTGAAAAGTCAGAAAAGAGACCAAGATAAAACCCAGAGGTTTCCCCTTAAACAAGAACCAACAGAGAAGGGAGTATTTAATACTCAAAAAAGACCAGAGTCGCTTTTTTGTTAATTTGTGTTGCTTTTTTTTAAATTATGTGCTAACTGCACTTGGAATAAATAGTCCCAGTATCACCAAAACCCAATAATAGTGGCCCAAAGCACAGGCTGGTGCATTTTGAATTGGGCCAGACTCTGTCTCCAAATAAAACTGGAGGGCGTGGGAGGCCATGCCAAGCTCTAGACACACGGCCAGAGCTAGGGACCAGGGACAATGAGGCCAGTGCCAGCATCCACAGCGGGACTTGCACAGGTCTAGGAGCACGAGCACCCAGTCTTCAACATCATCAATTAACATTTCCATCAAATATCAGGTTCACAGACTCGTGCGATGCCAAAAGCACTCTAGTTGCGATGTATGACATGTAATTTGGCAGATGAGGGAAGAGGCTGAGGGATTAAGGGGAAGTCAACCTGAGAATGGTTTCAGAAATAACTCCCTCAAACCAACAATTTAAATGAAGCAAAGAGTGAACAGGCGCTTAGTGCCCTGGAGTGGATTCCTGTATATGGTCTATTTACAGAAACAGCTGCAGAAAGACAAACAGGTAACAATAATTAAGCAGTCAATCATTGTCATTAAACCCTCTTTCCAATATACACTTCAAGGAAGTTGGCTTGAGTTCTGATTCTTACACCTCTATCCCCACTTTAGAATCTGAAGGGGGAGGGGGGCAAACAAACGCTGAGTGACAGGCAATTGGAAAGCAGTGGAAAACTCTGAAAACACAACTTTTGCAAACACAATGATAAATCAAGCAGCACTGAAAACGTGACACTAACACTCATTTAGTCACTCAAGCACAGTTTTTTGTTTTATCTTTTGAGCATCTAGGTGCCTTAGGGGAGGATATAACAACAGCCTCCCCCAGGACACTAAGAAAATGGTGTCTCTGTATGTGCGTGAGTGAGGGGAGGGTGTTCCACAGCTTCCTTCGCGGGGATTGGTTTTCTATGTCGTGACCACCATGCCCAACCTTGGTTTGGTTTGCTCTGACACCTCAATGAAGTGAGCTGGCGTATTTACTCCAACAAAAGAATCGTGATTTTGTTTCTCTGAAGGAGTTATGCACTCACCATGGGAACCAGTTTCAGAGTCACTTGCTAACTCAGTGTTCCCATAAACCATCAGGAGAATTCACATGGGTTCTAGGGGGAACTACATGAGAATGCACAAAGAGGACCGGAGACTCCTTTTTCTTGACACATGCCATGTATATCTACCTTCTCCCTTCCCAAAAGCCCCCATGGAAGCTTGTGTTGTTCTGGGGAAGCCAATTCCACCCCATGCTCAAGGAACTAGAATGTGATCTAGGCTAAGTCAATCAACACACTCCCATCTCTCAGCCACTGTAACTGACTCAAGGCTGAGCATGGGACTGGGCTTGAGACTTTGGCTTGGAATATTGGGACAAAGGTTCTGAGTTCTCCCTCTGGATGGCGTGACATGCAGACATGACACTCAGAACTGTCTACAGCCATCTCTGCTTTCACGAGGGGAGCTGATCTGAGGGAGAAGACCACACATGGAAGAGGGCAGGGCGAGAAAATACCTAGAATTACTAGTGCTGGAGCACTAACAGCATCCCAAACCTCTGGATCAAATCGCACCTGAAACCCAATCCCATCTCTCAAGTTTTCAGTGATGTAAGTCAATTAGTTCTTTTTATCACCTAAGCTGTAGAATCTCTATGAGTTGGATCCTCTATTATTCACAGCAGAAAGCATCTGACCTCATCAAAGAGACTCATACCAGGAAATGGCAAGTTCTAATCCAAGGCGCAGGCTGGAGGACTGCTCCCTTGGACTGGCAAGACGATCACCTTTGCCATGGAATTGTGACACAGTGGACTAAACCACGGTCTGGTGTGCCTTTGGACTTGGACCCTGTGCCTGCAACAATACAGGATCTGAGAGAAACCCAAAATGCCAGAGTATGAGCTGGCCAACTTTTAAGGATCTACAAGAAAAAGACAAGCTTGCTGTGAAAAGGCCAGCGGGGAAAACACAGCGCTGTTTGGCGGGGGAGGGGGACGTGGAAGGGACAGAACACTTCCCAAGTACCAACCACTGGGCCTCTGTGGCCTCAGACAGGGATGGGCCCGCTGACCAGCAGACATGGCCCATGAGGTACCACCCACTCTACTGTTTCTTACAGGCTCTGGGTGGATTCTCCCTAAAGCCACGCAATCTGCAACATACCAAGGTCAGGCCGGGAGACATTCTTGGACAACATTCTAGATTCAAACCCTAGAACTTGGCAGTGCATCCAATTTTGCTTATTAGTACACAGAAGCAAACAAACCTTACAAACCAACTACAGAGAAACAACTGCTACAGCATGGCATCCCTGACACAGCCGGCTTCCCAATGCACATCTCAGATGTGGTCACAGAAGATACTCGGGCAAAGGGGATCTCAGTGGGCAGAACCTGAGTGGGGGAGAGGGTGGCTGTGCTTTCAGCCTCACAGGGGAGACACTCATGGTGCTGTGGGCTGCTTCTCCTCCTAAGCCCAGGTATGGTAAACAGCGTGCATGCGACCTGTTAGACACCTGTCTTCTATTTGTTTTGGGGGGATGCTATCCATCACACTCCCGCTCTGACAAGCACTTTATCTCCCTTGTCAAGAGTCCCCAGTCATAGGTACCCAAACCCTGTGGCAGAATTTGTGGGATACATCTGCTCCCTTTCCATGGCAAGATGGGTAGAAGGAGGGGACACAGCTTCAGCACGGCCAATCAGACCCTCGGGAGGTGGCAGGGCAGGCACTGATGGCACTAGTGGCAAGAAGGCAGGAGCTCCCTGAAGCCTGGCTCCTGCTCCGGGCCCTGCAGGCCAACCCCCTGCATCTCCCTGGCTCCTGCCCACCTCCAAGCCTGTATATATCCTTCCTGGACTTCCAACCCCTCTGCAAGTCTCTCAAATCTTCCAA